AAAATGCAAGTTGTTGTGAACATGCTTTGGCCATGAACAAAAGTGAGTTTTGGCCAACTTTGTGAATTCGATTCTCTCTAACCACAAGGGTGTTTAAGAAGTTCTTGGACAATTTGGAAAGCTTGGAACATGTACTACAATCCATCTTTGTAATGAAAATTGAAACTCCAAGTGGAACCATGTGAAAAATGGCCAAGAAGTTGGACAAAAAACATGCCTAGAATAGGGCAAATTTCTTCTAAGTTAAAAGTGTTTTGCACCCTTGTTCCAAAAATCATAACTTGAGATACAAGCGTACTTTGAGAAAACTTTGTGAATCAAAGTTTTAGATTTTGCAATGGACTACAACTTTCATGTTTCAAGTTTTTGTTTGAATCCATTTGCATCTTGGTGAAAAAAAGGGACAAAGTTAGGAAAAAATAAGAAAATATTTTAACTTAGAAAATTTCTAAGTTATGAAAATTTTTCATTTTAAACCCTAATTTGCAATTTTTGGTTTCTTGATGAACAAGTTTCATAATTTGACATGTCTTGATGAAAAATGAATCTTGGCACTTGATTTTGACCAAAATGTCAAAGTTTGACTTTTCAGTGTACAGTCAAATTTTGATCAGTTGACTGAAAAATTCACCTGTCAATCCTATGCAATTGAGATCTTTTGAACTTTTTGAATGGGTAAAGACAATTCCATTGAGTCCTTGAGTCCATATCTGAGCTTGGTTTGCCATTGGTTAGGTCAAACAGTCAAAAATTGCCTTTGTGCAGTCAAAACCCTAAAAATGACCATTTTGCCCTTTTGGTGATCTGATCAAATTTCTTGTGGAATTGTGATCCAAACTTGACCAAATAGTTAATATGAGTTCATTATGTGGATGTGGGTCAAAATTCATGAAGTTTGACTGTCAATTGGCCACAGTTGACTTTTTTCCCCAATACAACTGATTTTTAGGTCAACTGTCCAATTGATTGGGCAAAGATTTGAATCAAGGCTTGAAACTTGGTATGGATAAACTTGTGAGTCCAACATGAAGCATGAAAGTCACTTTGGTCATTTTAGGTCAAAACATCCCTGTGCAAACTCAAACCCTAATTTGGGTCAACAGTGCAAGGAGGGGTCTTGAGCAGAGCAAACCATAACTTGATCTTGAGTTCCAAGAGTCTAGTGGTGAGAAAATGTTGATGAAATGAGAGGGAAAATTTTGGGGTACAACAGAAGCATTTTAAAATGGAGTTCTTTATTTGAAGTTTATTTTGGTCTAAGATTATTGTTTGTTTCAGAGATGAAAATGCAATGTTGGCGAGTCTTGGAGTAAAAAGCTTTTGACCAAGTCTGAAGAAGATTGTATTATTGGAGGATATTTTGGTCTCTTGGGTTAGAATTAATTGAATCCTAGTATATCTTGAAGATTAGGTTTTATTGAAGAAATATGTATTTTTCAATTAAGATTGGAGTGTCAAAATGGATGTCATGACATTGTAGTGTTACATGTTACTCCAATCAAGGTACAAGGATTTTATTCTGCTTGCAGAACAAAGTCATTGGTTTTGTCATCATTATGTCCGAGATTTTGTTATCAGGAAAGTATTGACACTCCTTAGCTTGGTATGTCTAAAAATATCTGGGATGAATTTTATCATAACTTGAGGTGTAAGTTACAGTGAAGTTATGAGGGTAATTTTTGAATTACATTACTAAAGAACTATAGTAGTAGCTATTTTGGACGGTCTGCCAACTATATTCTTTTACATAGTGGAGTGTGCAATCTCAGAAGAATCATTTTCAATGGAATGGAGAATGTCATTCCAAATGTTGTAACATTTTCAAGCAGTCAAAGCTTGGAAAGAGAGAAAGCTGAGTAATAGCATGTCTCTCTCTCCTATGGTGAGTGGTTCCCTATTACCAAAGAATATTTTTCTCCTTTCAATAACGCTTTCATTGACTGGAAGTGTCGTTACAAACAAGGTTTCATTACAAACTAGGTAACTCTCCTTGTATTTAAAGATCTTACTACCTCACCATCCTCACAAGTTGTGTTTCAACGTGAGTAAATCTTTCATATTTGTTGATGAAAAGAAGACTCTTCTGCTAAAAATCAAGAAGGAAATGGGTCATGGTTCAAAGAAAGTAATGTCCAACACTATAAAAAAAATGTTGGAACATCTAGGACATGGAAAACACCTATAATTAAGATGAAGTTCCTCAAGAAGAACCATGTGCATATACATGATTCAGACTCAGGTACTGATGAAGATCAGGTCAACTTCATTTCCTGAGGAGGTTGTGTTGGATAACTAGTGTCTTCTATCTGTTTATATAAAAAAAATAAAAAAAGGGTGTGTTTTTTTTGCTTATTCTTTTTTGAGTCAATCTTGTTTTGAGTCATTTGTTTTTTAAAAAGCCTTAGTTTATGTCTCTTCGGGTGAGTCCTTTTCTGTTTTATTTTTTCTTTTGAGTCAGTTTGGTGCTTCTTGTTCTACATCAAGGTATAAAGTCTTCCTTGTTTGTCTTGAATCATTTCTTGTTTGTTTTGATTCTTCTGTGTCAGTTTCTTTTCACTCTGATTTTGTCAATTTTTTGCTAAAAAGAGGGAGAAAAGTATTAATGTGAGTATGTAGGTCTAGGTCTCTTATAGCGTTGCTTGCTTTATGCAAAAATTTAGGGGGAACATGATTGTCCATCAAGTGAGTCTTAAGTCTATCTTATTTATGCATTTTGTGTTAACAAGATGTTCTATAGGATGTTATAACATCCTGTGTTTTGTGCCTTGTGTTCTGAGTTATGAGCATTATTGTGTCTTGTGCTTTGAGTTATATACGCAACTTCTGTTGCATGTTGTAATACGATGAAAGAAATGACATGGTGTTTTGCGTTTTATCGCAATTGTTACAGATAGCAAGAGTCGCCACCGACTTTTCTTTTATCCAATAAAGGAATGGATGAAAAGAACAGGAAAGACCTTTTGAGATATTTTCTTGAGTTCGGGGGGCAGGTTATGAAAAGGGAAGGTGTTAGCACCCTTTTCATCCGTAGTTATCTATGGGCTCTTAGTTGATTGATCACTTTGAAAATGTTTTGTTTAAAATGTGTTTCTGTTTGGTGAAAGTTTGAAAATATTTTGAAAACGCCTTTGTTTCGACAAACTTTGTAATGATTATCGTCTCTATAAAAATGTATACAAAGTGTTGGTTTTGAAAATAGTTCAAAGAGATGTTTGTTTTTGAATATGTTTTGAAAGTGTGAGTGTATAAATGGTTTTAGTTTATGATTAAGCAACTACGAGCGTCCTACCTACTCAAAAGGTATTTATTCTCTTCCTCCTCCTTTAGATGTTGTTATCTTACCATTGATTGGTAAGAAACCCCATCATCGGATATGGAGGAACAAGCACGGGTCAATGTACAGTCATAGAAGGCAACTTATGAGACACTTTAGCAATTTTCATAAGGGACTAGAATGTTTACCGAAGGCAACATTGAGGGACATCGAGGGACTACGATCTTTTTTATTGAAGGATATTTACTAAAGCGTCCCACAATCGAGGGACATGAGTGTTTTTCTGAGGCAACAAGTGAGGTTAATCCTAGAGGTGTACATGTGAAAAGTGTTTTGTTTTCAAGTTAATTGTCTTAATTAGGCTGGTCTAACGATTGATTATGTCTTACCATACACGCCTAATTACTATACAGTATAAAGAAAAACAGTAAATTGCGGAAATTAGTATTCTACGCTATTACAGAGCTTTTAGGAATGGGGAATACAAATTACAAATGGGGATGGATTGAATCGACAATGCGATAAAAAGTCAAGCAATACAACCCGATCGAATTAAAAATAAACAGTTAACTAGACTAAAAATTAATTGATAGAAATAGTATTTTTAGTGTTTTTGTTTGTGAGAAATTTCAAAAAGAAAATAAGACCTATTTTATTAAATAAAATAATTGATTAAAGAAATTAAATCATTTGTATATATTTTTATCTTTTGGTATTTTTTATTATGAAGAATTTAACGAACAATTTAAGACTAAATAAAAAGTTAGTTAGTAAAATTATTCACAAAGAAACCCTAACTAAACTAATTGAGAAAATAAACTAATTAAGAAAATTATCTATTAAAAAAACATTATTATTAATTGAATTTTAAGAAAATTAAACTAAAATATTAAAACAAATGAAACTAAGGAAATGTTAATGAGAAACTAATTAAAATAATGGTACAAGTAAAAAATATGGGATGAGCTAAGTAAATCGTTGATGGGCTCTAGATTTGAATTTGAGCTCTAAAAGGTGAAGGCCCAACAAAATAATCAAAATATAAATTAAGTATAAAAAAAAATTGGGTCGGGTTGCTGTTCCAAAAGCCCACCATGAAATTGCAAGTTCAATGAAAACAAAAAAACTCTAGGGTTTACTGCAAATCAGTCGCTAGAAAAATCTCTCAAGTCTCTCACGATTTTTTGTACCGATTCTTCCTGTATTTCTCGTTAGTTACAACATTCTATTTTCCAATCGCCTTCAACAATAAAGCAACGCCAAAAACTTCTACTTGTCTCTCTCGCTCTTTGTTTCATTCTCTTGCTCTCAATCCAACGAAATATCACCTTCTTCCTCTATTCAGATTCAAATTGCGTCCGACTTCACTCTGATTCAAACTTCACAAATTCACTACCTTTCTCCTTCTGCTCAAATGACGAGACAATCCTCCACGCTGCAGGTAGCGACCCGATCACGTTTTTGTAAGCAACGAACCTAGGTTCCTCTCTTCAACACTGAGCTCAGAAGATGGTGTGGATATTAGCACTAGCTTCTACATGAAGGATATCGTCTCATCGTAATGCTCTGCGAGCTTTGTAAGGTACACCTACTGTTCTTATTATGCTCTGTTTAGGTTTTCTAGAACCGTGACACCCAATTTTATTGTTAGGTTTTCATTTATGTTCTATGTATGGTGTGAAACAGGTTGGGGATGGGGTGAGAAGATGGTGAAACGTGGGTAGGAATGGAGGAGAAGGGCAGTAGCGCGATTTGGTGGTGGATTTGGAGACAGAAGATGGTAGAAGGTGGCGTCGGACAAGAGGGTAAACCGGTGGAGGTTATTATGTTGAGGCGGACAGTTTGGGAGGTTAGTTTGTAGGAAGATAGAACAAATTTTATAGTTTTTTATATTACTGCTCTTTTCCCTTGTTTCGCCTAATTTTATTCTTTTGGTTTCAGGTCGGCTGTTATTATAGAAACAACAATATTATGCTCTCAGTTCTATTTCTCATGGTTTCCTCTTATTATCCTCTTTTCTATGCAGTAGCCACAACCATTATACTACAATAGTTAATATAAAAAAGTGCAAACACATGCGTGCGAGAATAGTGGAAAAGAATTGATACATGTTATGCTATTTTACCTTGTTTTATTTGCTTCATACTTAGATCAGATGCTAGTTTGATTGATGAAAGATTGTTGTGATGTCACTGGTGGATGGTTGAAGGTTACGGTTTTCTATAGGGAAGTCCCTTTTTCTGTAAAAATTATCTCTCCTAGAACTTTTCTTTTGTTTCTGAAGGGTTGTGGGTTAGGAAGATAATGAGATAAGCTAGGGTTTTGGGACAATATCAAAAATGAAATAAGGTTTTTTTTATTGTTGTTGTTATGACTCCGGGTTTTTTATTTTCTCTCTTTCTGTGTGTTTTATATCAACAAAAAGATAACGTTTTAGGGAGAAAATTGATGATTTGAACATTTTAGTATGCTGGCTTGATTGCTTTTGGATACAGCTTTTTGTTTTGCCATTTTTGTGCAAGTTAGGGGTAGGTTTGGATTGCTATATGTGCACAGTTAAGAGAGTTATGGACAACACAGTTTTGCAGGGTTGTTTGAACATCTTTATGTTTGGTTTGCAGGCTGTAGAGTTGTTTTGGATAGCAGCTTAACATTATGGCGTCTTTTGTTTTGATCTGTTTCTGTGCAGAATTTTGGACTGTTTCTTGTATGCTTATGACAACTAAGATGTAATTCTGAGTTTAGATATTATTTCTTCTTTGTTTTGTCCTCTGTGAACCAATAACAATTGTGATTTGCAATGGACGAAATGCTACCCATGATTGACTTTACTTGCAAATTATGACTTTATGAAACCAAAATGGTTTATGAGGCTTCGAGCATAATCGAATGCAAAAACTTTATCTTTGATTCCTCTCACAAATCCTAATGATGAGATTAGGAGAAATTTTGCTTGAAAACTTCTTGTTTAAACTTCATTGTTCATGTGTTAATCATATCTTCTTTTTCTTTGATTTGTTTCATGTGATGGTGTGAAAACGAAAAATAAATTTATAATAGGAAATCAAGGATAGGCTCGAAGGGAAATTGTGATGATGTCTTGATGAAATTGGGCTGCCATGAAGCTTGAAGAATATCTTGAAGATTTAAACATGTTTACGACTTAAAAAATAAGATTAGGCCTTGGATATAAAGCCTCTTTAAAACTTGAACTTTGAAATATAACTTGTAACTTGAAATTTGCAATTGTGACTTGAATTTTTAACTTTGAAAAAAAAGTCTTTGTAAGCATTTGGATGAAACAAAATAATTCCCTTGTAATTTCCTTTCTAAACTTAAAAGAGTTTCTTCCATTTTGAATCTTGAACTAAAGACAAATTCATATAAATGAATTATACTTTGAATAAATTTTGTGATCTTTTATTTGTTTCCAAATGAATAAATCTTCCCATCTTAAAATATGGATCCACTTGACAAATCTTCAATTCCAAATCTCAACGACAAATTCAAATTACCTTGAACCCCCTCCCTAACTTAAAAATTCTAAAAATCCAAACTATCTTGTGATTGAAGTAAGAAGTATTTGATGAGAACAAAAATTATATCGACAAAAATTAATTACAACTTGTACTTCAAACTCGCCATAATCAACAATGCCTTCATGAATTAAATTTAGAAGCCAAACCCTTTTTTTAAAGTCAAGAATTGACCTACAACGTTTCGATAAGTTTCAAAACCTTCTAAGCACAATTTGACTCTGATTTTTAAAGAAAACTTGTAGAAGACATTCCTTATGACAATGTGCAAAAATAATCGTCTCAGGATCTTGAAAATTGAGGAAATTACAATTCTTGGAAGTCAGGCAGCAGTTACTTGAGATTAGGTTAAAATCCAGAAACTGACTTTTAAAGCATTCGAATTTCTAATGACCTTTCACTGGTAATCAACTCATGACTTGTAAAGAGAAATTAGAGACGACGTCAAGGAGAGTCATGTGCAAAAAGAACCACTCAAAATATCGAATAATGAAGAAGTTACAATCGCTTGAACTTGATCTTGAAAAAGTCGACTTTTGGGTCAATAATGTTCATTTTCAGTCATCTGAACCGTTGTCTGAGCAAACTTGCGATGCAAAGCTTGAAAACTAACACGAACATCCTTGAGAATGCATGAAGAACCATGAAGATCATTTGAAACCTTGGAAACGCAATTTTGCTTGAGAAGTACCAAACCCTATTTGCTGACTCAATGCCTAGGAAGAGAATTTATCTAATCAAACCCTAAGTCATTTTGAATATTTGAGAAACCCAAGGATATCATCTTGAATGAAAAATGGGAGGGAAAATTTTGGGGTACAACACATGTCCTTCTAATGTGCTATGTTCTTGACGGGGAGCTTTATCTCTCTGTGTCAAGAATTAGTTATGTGTTTGAGGGCAGTAATGTCCATCTTCTTCTTGATGTACAAAGTTTACATGTTTAACATGTAGCCTATGTTGTGTAACTGCTATATCTCTGAGAAATGTTATGTGCAGTTTTGTTTTTGGTTTTATTCCTCAATGGTCTTATTCCTTTGTGGTGTTATTCCTCTCTCCAAGTGTATTTGGATTTTTGGTTGTTTTAGCCAAAATTTTCCAAAAGGCGGAGATTGTTAGTTCCATGGTTGGCATAATTTTTCTAAAACATGGTTCTATATTGTTGTTGATCAAGATGTTGCAGCATTTGTATCAACTATCGTAACAGGTTTAATGTTATGAGTTTTTCAGCTAGATGTCGAAGCAGATGTCATGTCATCTTGGTATGGTACAACAGGTGCTTTTGTTTTAAATATTGGCATACTTGATTTGATTCTATGATATTCCTTTTGGATATATCTCAGTAAATTTCGCAGATCAAGAAGATTTAATCTAGAACATGTTTTATATCTCTAGTTGTACATTAGTTACTAAATTGAACCTTGAGACAATTTAGGAAACTTTGTATTGTTTGTTCAAAGCTTTAAGGAGATTTTGCTGCACAATTGGTGCATCACTCAGCATATGGATGAAGAAATATTTGGATGAAGATTTCAAAGCCCATGGACTGCAGATGTGTATTTAAAGGGGAATCCTAACTTAATGTAATTAGTTCTTTCAACAACTGTAAAATTAGGGGAAGAAAAAATAGTCATAGGTTTTAAGAGTCTCTTGTGTATTGTATGGTGTAAGTCACCCTTGTATCTTTTGCTACTTGTGGTCAACATTAAGTTCTTACTCACAAGCCTTTAGGAAATGAGTTGAGTATTGTTCTTGGATGAAGCTTTTAAGCAAATCCAAGTATCGTTCTTAGTCAAGAGTCTTGGCTAAGTATTGTAATGGAAGTATGAACTTCTTGTTGAGTTATTCTTGATACAGTCACTGGGATTGGGAAAATTAGATATCACTGAGGTGATTTAGGAAGTGAGATGGCGATTTCTCATATTTAGGAGGTTCCTAGGTAGAAGTTGCATTAGGTATGGATTAAGAGAGAAGTTGTAAACTGGGATTGTTTAGCCTTTGAACTGATACTGCTAATAGTGGACTTCCTTTCTGGCCTGGTAGCCTCCATATGTAGGTCATGTTACCCTGAACTGAGTTAATAACTCTATGTGTTATTTATCATTCTGCAGTTTAAGTTTTAGTATTTGTTAAAACTTGATAAATATGTCCAGTCTGTCAACAGATGTTGCAACATCTGTACTGACATTGTTCTGATGTTGAGACATTAGTATTAAAATGTGTTGCATGTATCAGATAAATTTCATGAACCTTCCGATGACACGATGCTTTGCTCCTTCTGGTGGCACGATTCAAGTTTCTAGAAGAACCAATGAATTAGTTCTTATTTTTGATGCAAGTCATCAAGACAATGATTAAACAGGTTCTGATACTTCATAGTGTTCTCATAGTAAGCCATGTTCTGATATGAAGACCAGTCATTTCTAGTCAAAATCTGATGAGACATCAACGGAGAAGTATTCCTTCTTGATGTTACCTTTTGTACTACAAAATTCTTTTTGCGAGTCTTGGGCTCAGATGGAGACTTTGAACAAGCATAAATGTGATTTTGGGTATTAACATATTCAGGGGGAGATGGTTAGCTTTTCTGAATTTGAGTTCTATGGTAATTACCTTGTATAATTTTTCTATCAAAATACATGGTTTTTTCATCATCAAAAGGGGTAAGATTATAAGAACATGATTGGTTATGCATCTGACTTTGAGTTTTGATGATAATTTTACATGGTATCTTAGAGAACAATTCTGTACTGTAATGGTTTCTATCTAGTGTGTAGCTTTTTCTAAACAGGTTTTAACTCTGGTAAGAAGTTGTGTGATGTTATCAGGCTATGAACTCAACACTCTAGAAGAATACCTTTGGTATGTTACAAGTTAAGTCAAAATTCTAGAATGCTTATTATGCAACAGTTCTAAGGAACATTAGTACAAGAACTTCTGATCGTGGTTTTTGCAAGGAAGCTTTGAAGGCCTTCTAAAGCTTTACTTCTTTTGTTCTAAGTTCTAAAGATGCTGAAGACAAGGTTCTGCTGAACAAGTTCTGAAGATTTGAAGACATCTCTTCTGAAAGACCAAGCGCTGAAGACTCTGAAGACAAGAGTTTTGCTGAACAAGTTCTGAAGACTCAAAGACTTAGGTTCTAAAGATGCAAGTTTTGATCCGTTTACAACATGCTTCATCAACATGCAAACTAGAATCCTCTGAAGATATAGAAGACAAAGATCAAGACTAGGGATTGCATATGATGGGGAGTACGCAAGTACAAAATTACTTTGTAACCTATACTCTAATAAGGTGGCATAAGGAAAGACTTTATGTACTTGTTGTCTACCATTTCAACCATGATTGTTGGGAACAAAACAACTGGTTTTTATGTTTCCTATTCTACCCTGTGTTGTACCAAAAAAATTTCCCTCCCATTTTTAAAGATAATTGATTCAATACACCTCCTCATGCTTCTAGGGTTCTCAATTACTCAAGAATACTAAAGGGTTTAAGCATACAAGCACCTCTCCT